GATTTCGATCTGATAGAAGACTTATGAAAGCTCCATAGCAATCAGCACTGTTCTGTTTTCTGTAATTGCTGACGCAAAAACACTTGGAGGGACGGCTCGTTAAAATAAATCACGCGGTGTAGTTCAATGCAGTACCCATACATTGATATGCTCGTAGAACACTTTGAAATAGTTCTTCGTTAAAATTAGTCGTTAAGAAAAAAAGACTGCAGCGAACAAAGCCTGACCATGCCATACCTTATAAAAGTAGATGATTTTTAGCAAGCTCAAATTTGACGTTCTTACAACTATTTGTTGAGGGAGCTGTGATCTAGAGCTTCGGATGATATCAGTAGCTCTATTGTTTTCTTCTGCTGTTGCACTTTGTAGTAGCAGGGGAATAATTAGCAGTTTCTTAATTTAGTTGCTATAAATGCAATTCTAAATGCTTGTTACACTTTAAATTTATTTGCTGCAGCATGCTCTAAACAATAAACCATGTCATTCATTATATACAGCCAAAAATATTGTTATTATATTAGTACCCAGGTATAAATCTCTGAAACTGGTGGAGGGTACATCTCATTGTAATGGGGGTACATACATATGTTGGAGTTTTTACAGTATATCATATTATAATTAATTGTGACAAGTGGTTTAAATTGTCTCCAATTTTGAATCAATGAATTGAATTAATACATGCCTTGGTGGCATTTAAAATTAAAGTCAAATCTTTATTTGATTAAAAAGCTCTCTGGCCTATATTAATATACTATTACTATAACATATACCTTTAACAATATTCTTTCAACAATCTCTTAGTATATTTATATTCCATTCAAGTGGCGGCCACCGCTGCTTTTGCGGTTTTCGCATCAAGTTTTGGTGCTGGTGTATCTTTATTAATTGTTTCAACCTTTAGTGGTTGATTTGCCTTGTCAGATCCTACACAACTATCTCTTTTTCTAGCTATAGATAAGTTATCTGGTTCAATATCTAACGCTTTATTAAAATCTTTTAAGGCATTTCCATATTGCCCAAGCATACGATAAACATCTCCTCTCCATTTCAATGCGCTCACATTATCTGGTTTCAATTCTAACGAGCTGTTTAGATCCTTTAATGCGGCGTCATACTGTTTGAGTTTACGGTAAACATTTCCTTTCCACTTTAATGCAGTTGCACTATTTGGTTTCGATTCTAGTGAGCCGTCTAGATCTTCTAATGCATCATCATACTGTTTGAGTTTGCAGTTAACAATACCTCTCCATTTCAATGCAGTTGCATCGTCTGGTTCCCAGTCTAGCGAGTTGTTTAGATCCTTTAGTGCCGCATCGTATTTTTTGAGTTTGCGATAAACGTTTCCTCTCCACATTAATCCTTTTTCAAAACTTGGTGCCAATTCTAACGCTCGGTTCAGATCCTCTAATGCAGTATCATACTGTTTGAGCTTGCAATAAACGCTACCTCTGAACGCCCATGTGGAGGGCATGTTTTTATCAGCGAGCAAAGCTTTATTCAAATCGATCAACGCGTTTTCATATTGTCCGAGTTCACGGTAGACAGCCCCTCTGTGTCTTAATGCAAATCCGTTCTTTGGATCGGTCTTTAATGATTTTGTAAGATCTTCTAATGCTTTTTCATACTCCCCCATAAGATAATGGAGAGTTCCTCTTTGTTTGAATGCAAAACCGTTCTGATGCATGTCCAATGATGTGTTAAGATCTTCCAATGCTTCATCGTATCGTCCTAGGATGCGATAAACGGCCCCTCTGTTTTTCAACGCAAATGCATCATCTGGCTCAATTGCTAGCGAAGCGTCAAGATCCTTTAATGCTTCCTCAGGCTGTTCAAGTATACGGTAAATAGCACCGCGGTGTTTCAACGCAACTTCATCATTCGGTTCTATGTCTAATACCTTACTGAGATCTTTCAATGCATTTTTATACTGACAGAGTATGCGATAGCATGATCCTCTTTCTTTCAATGCAAATAAATCATTTGGTTCAATCTCTAACGATTTGCTAAGATCGACCAGTGCCTCTTCATAATTTGCTTTAATGTTGGGGTACCTTTTGGCTGTTGTGGCTCCCCTGTATTTCAACATGAATGCGTCGTTTGGCTCAATCTCTGCAACTTTATTGAGATCTTCAACTGCAAGTCTATTATCACCACGCAAGTAGTAAGTTGCTCCCCTATACTTCAACGCAAATGCATCATTCGGCTCGCTTTCCAATACCTTATTGAGATCGTTTATTGCATCTTCAAGTTGATAAAGTGAATGATTGATAGCTCCTCGCTGTTTCAACGCAAATATATTATCTGGTTCTATAGCCAATACTTTATCAAGATCTTCTACTGCAAAGTCATACAGTGTCTCTGCATTATAGACAATTGCTCTTTGCTCTAACGAAAATATATTATTTGGTTCAAGCTCCAATGATCTGCTGAGGTCTGTCAAGGCCTTGTCATAAAAACCAAGCATAGAATAAGTAGCTCCTCTCTGTTGCAACGCGAATACATCATCAGGTTCAATTTCTAATGACTTTTGAAAGTCCTTTAGCGCATTGTCATGTTGATTAAGTATGCGATAAATGGCTCCTCTTTGCTTTAATAGAGTTGCATTATTTGGCTCAGCCTCTAATAAGTTACACAGTTCCCTTAATGAATTGTGCTGACTAACCAGCAACTGCTGATCTTGAACCTTGGGCATCTCTGGGTTCGTTAACCAAACATCTGGTATCGTGTATACGGTTGAATTGGAATTCCAAGCTATTGGGAGTGAATCTTGAATATTTTCCGCACTTGATTGTTTAACCTGTAACTCAGCTTTTTCTTGTGTTGCTTTACTATCTTTTACTAATTGTTCGTTTGATAATGATTGATCTTGATCAGTCTGCTCTTCTGCTCGTTGAAACAATGATTCCAATTTTAGGTATACTTCTTCACAAACTGGTCGTTTCTCAGAATCTTCATCCCAACACTTTGAATATAGTTCAACATAGTCTGTAGGTGTCCCAGGAAAAGGCTTATCATAAGATCCATTTAGTCTGTATATTATTATGTCGCTATCTGCAGTAAGTTCTTCACATGGTAACTTCCCACTAGAGATCTCCCAAAGTATAACTCCAAGACTGAAAATATCGGATTCCTTTCGAAGTTTATAGGAGTAATCTTTGAAAGATATAGGGTCAACGTATGCAGAACTACTTTCACTATTTGATGGGACCGTTGTTTGTGATGCAATACAAGAAGAACCAAAATCTCCTATTTTTGCAACGCCAGAATTAATGAGAATGCTATCAGAAGACTTGATAAACCAAAATAAGAATACCGCATTAGACGTGATAAAAATACGCAACGAACATGTAACGATATATCGTATTAAGGATAGTTTACATTACCAAATTTCTATGAATAATATCAAGCGCATGTATATGTTTTAGTCCATGAGCAATCTCCAATCCCAACTTGTATTTGCTTTTCAATGTAAGTTCAGCAAAATGGTTCGTTAGGTAGGCACGCAAATTTCCGCCATTGGCGTATTCGAAAATCATGTGATAAGCACCGAATAGATCTGTTATAATACAGGAATTGAATTAGCTTTATCGAAATCAAATACTAAAAAAAAAACAAAACAAACGGCGTACTTTGACATAGACCCAAGAATCGAAGAACATTTGGATGATCGTCGGCTCTCTTATGGTTCCTCATCTGATGAATGGGAGTTGATTTAGTTATTCAACAACCGCAAGTTGGGTAATAAATGTTTACCACATACCTCTCTGACAAGGTCCTTGTATCCGTCTTCCTTTCTATTGTGTATTGATAAGGTTTTCATCGTGACGGGTATTCCAGAATTCTTCACCACTGCTTTATGTTCCATGACATATTCACTGTTTTTAACAAGGACACGTTCTGTAATGTCGTCATCCGAATAACACTTAATTGCTCCGTCTTCAACGGTTTTATCTAACCACTCTTTATATGGACTGTCGGTATGCGCTGCTGACTGCATTATTGAATAGCAGAGACTGTTTTTCCTTAATCGTTCTTGTTATCGTATGGACAATTCTATCAACAGTAAGCGCTTTTATCCTTGCCTCAGTTTCTGGCAATGTTTCTTACAATATTGAAATATACAATTGTATATACAAAGTACATATATGATTATCTAGAGGTTATTGGTGAAGAGGAAGGACAGAATGCGCAAGAAAGAGTCAAATGGGACTCGATTGCAAAACAAGTTATTTAGGGTTACTAATTTCATCAGATCGGTTTGACGCATATTAATATGATAATCGGGAATTTACCTGCCAGGTCATACAGTCGTACAGGCTCAAACATTATCCAACTACATTATCCCTTCATTGGACGCTCTCCTCCATAAATGGGCCGTACGACGTGCGACCAATTCCTGATAATACGCATATTAATATGTGATTTTATTGGATAACATTTATTGCTACCACCCTACACAAGAAATTTTGTGTCAGCCAAGTTTCTGTCGAATTGGTAGCGTTGGATGTCAAGCCAGCAGGACTCGAGGAAAATCTTATTTAATATAGAGCTACTTGACATATACTATTCTTGCCACTGATAAGACGCTAGATAAAAATGGGGTTACTTCAGTCAAGGATCAAATGAATGTACAGTACGTTCTCATAATAGTGCGTTTTAATTATTTGCGTGTTACAGTTTGATAACCAGATCGTATCACATATTATTGACGTGCTTTAAATTGTCATTATTGACGTGCGATAACTGTCACTCAATGACATTGTTATATTATACGCTTTTTTTGTGAGATGAGTTTACAGATCATAGAAATGACTCTTCGAACAGATCTTTTATTAAAAGTTAGATCAGTTAGTTTACATTTAAAATGACCAAATTTATTCGCAAAGGTTATTTAACACTGAATATACACAAATATGCAGAGGCTACAGGAGCATTGACTAATCATAAAAGGAGCGACTGTGTGGTGGAGACTAGCAAATCGCAAGCACATCTTTAAAAATTCAAATTCGACCTTTCGCAGTTCGAAGTTCGTCGCTGTCAAGCACACGTTCGGTTTGAGGATGAGCTGTCTCTCCTACATAAATAATGACTATAAGTTTGCAGGAACTCACTAAACAATTAATAGTAGGACTTTCCATGAACTAACCCGTAATCTTTTCTTTTACAATCTTAAACCATTCGACGATTGGATTATTTTTCCTTAATGAATAATGAACAGTGTCTGGTTCCACAAGAACCTGCAAAAACATCAATTAAAAAAGTCAGTTAACTGGTTTACAGCTATTGCACTACAAACTGTTTCAGCTTGATACTCACCAAGCAAACTCTCGGATCTGAAGCGCTTCCATCATGAACGGAATCTCCGAGATCACCAAACCATTTCTTACAGTCTGGTGTCCACAACTGTTTGATCATATCTCTATCCTCAACTATACGTGCAGTTCCAGCCACACTAACCCATTCTTCGGTATTTCCGCGGACATACGCACAGTTGACGTGTGAATCAAATGTTATATCGTCCATCTTATCGGATTTGTTGTTGGTTATGAAATAAATTGCTGCTCCTGGGACGCGACTGCGAGTTTGCATTGCTCTCGAGACTAGGGAGCCATCTTTAATAGTTAAATGTTAGAGACGAGAGTAGAAGTATAAAGCGCAAAAATAGTACAAGATAGAAAGAATTACCGCTTCGGCGTGTGGTAAACATGCACAACTCAATACCATCAATGAGTGCATACAAGTCATCGAGTTTCTTGTATGTTGGAGTGTCCTTGTCAATGTTCACGTTTTTAACAGTTGTGGTTTGGTCAGTCATCTTGGCAATTGTGAAATGGCAACTAGATACTTTTCGTATTTATATACATCTGCTAGTTAACAAGTATGTCATCATCATTACATATTCGCAATAAAGCATACGACCCTCCATATCGTATATAGCCTGTAATATTTATCCATTACGTACATAAGCAGCTAAGCATACAAGGTTAATAACTCTCTCACACTTGTTCGATCACGTGATATACGGAATTTAAAGGTTTCGTTTTTTATAAACTGGTCATTCCAATATTATCATAAATAGGCTTACGTATAGACTGGGCAACGTGTGAGTGGATGGGAAGCGATGTTGCTTGTGGCTGACGATCCGCCCTATGGCTACAGGCGGTCAACGGCTGAACGAACGTACAGAAGTTAGCTTGACGCTATCAAATCGTTCACCCCTGCATGATCACCGTAAACCGACGAATACTAAACATTAATATGCTATCGGGATGGATGCGATAAAAGTATAACTAGGATCGAAGCGTGCGAATGTCAAATCGTAAGAACCTTTAGCGTGGCGTTCAAATAATTTATTAAAAGTAATCGTTGACAAAAAAAGTCTGTAATGGGTCGGTGGATAGTTTTGATCTTTATTATACAAATAATAGTGATATACTTTGACAATATAACTATTTGTTTTTCTTCATTCGTTTATTTGTTTTTCTTGGGTCTCTTGGGTCTCTTATTCAGCCTGCGCAAGACCTGCCCTCTGTACATCAACGTGTACGTGTTGGTTGGATCAATATTAAATGACTTGGTGAGATCATCCTTCGCACGATCATAATCAGCTAACGCATGGTAGACAACTCCTCTTGATCTCAAAGCAAAAGCATCGTCTGGTTCCAGCTCTATCGACCTATTGAGATCTTTTAATGCATCATCAGTGTTCTTGAGCGCGCTATACACAGTTCCTCTTTGTTTCAAAGCAAATGCGTCATCTGGTTCCAATTCCAACGATTTATTAAGGTCTTTCAATGCATCATTATATTGCTTGAGTATGCGATAGACTGCCCCCCTATCTTTCAGTAGACTTGCATTATCTGGTTCAGCTATTAACGATTCATTCAAGTGATTTAATGCCTCTGCATACCGCTTCTCTAACAATTGTTGATCTTGATCGTCTACTATATTCGCCAGGTGAGCCCGAGTCTTCGACCTGTCCAAATCTGATTCTTCTAGCAAGGCTCTTGGTATTTCATACTTTGCTCTACTAGAACTCATAAGATGCGCCTCGTAATTGTGCGAAACTTCAGTCGCCGTCACGGTTCTTGCTTGCGATACTTCATTGTCAAACGAAATTTGTTCAGTCGGTGAGTATTGACCTTGACCATCTGAATCTTCTGAATTAAATAATACTTCCAATCTTTTATATATTTGTTCGCAAGGTGGCCTTTTTTTGAAGTCCTCCACCAAACATTCCGAATACAGGTCAATGTAGTCTTGAGGCGTTCCAGGAAAAGGATCATCTTGAAGCCCATTTATCCGAAATGAAATGACTTCACTAACTTCCGTACAGCCCCCACAAGGATTCATGGCACTGGAGATTTCCCACAAAATTACTCCAAAACTGAAGACATCGGATTCCTTTCCTCGCCTATACGTGGTGTCCATGAAAGACAGAGGATCAAGATACACCATACAACCCGCACCCTTTGATTTAGTGGCTCTTTGTTTTAATGCGCTAGACAGACCAAAATCTGTTATTTTAGCGACACCTCCTTGGATGAGAACATTACTAGATGACTAGAGCAAAAGAGCGAATATCGCATTAATTAAGTATAAGTTTTGATCTACATGCCGCAGCCAAAGGAGAAGGATTGACATACCATGTCTTTATGGATGATATCAAGATTATGCAGATATTTCAATCCGTTCGCAATGTCCAAACCCAACCTGTACTTATTTCTCCACGTTAATCGTTTAAAGTTTTTTATCAAGTGGTCTCGCAGAGTTCCACCATTAGCAAATTCAAAAACCATGTGAAAACCACCAGACGGGTCTGATTATATTTCATGAGGGGAAAGAGAATAAATTCATAAGCATTTTAATTAAAAGTTGAATGTTCGAAATTTGAACATACCTTGGCATAGTCCCAAGAATCGAATAATGTTTGGATGGTCATCCACCTGCTTATGATTCTTCAACTAATGTAATGTAATTTGTTATATTAGAAATAGCTTGAAACTTGTATACGAAATGGTAAACCGCTCAAAACGAACCTCTCTGACGAAATCCGAGTATAATTCTTCCTCTTGGTCATAATTGTTTATAAACAGCGTCTTCATTGCAATTGATATGCCAGAGTGTCTCACTTTTGCTTTATACACTAATCCATATCCACCACGACCAATAACTGTACGGTCTATGATGTCTTCATCTGAATAGCATTTAATGGCCCCGTCGCTAACGGTTTTGGCCAACCACTCTTTATCGCTATTGGAAGTGACCATAATTCAGAGGGTGAAGAAAATTGATGGTCTCTCCACACAAAATTTTAAACTTTCGTGCAGCAATGATTGCCTGATTGGTGTTCGAGTCTTATTGGCGCAATGTCAAATTTTACTTACTGGGCAAAAAATATACTACACAAGTTAAACACATAGCTGATGGCGACTTGCTTATTATTTCGCAATCACATGGCCTCAAGTCTCTATGCAAATCATATTTACCTGCCCAATTTAAAGGGTCTAATAAATATTAACATCTCTAAGTTGATTGAACATCTGCTTTGTAAGTGACACAAATTAGCTTTCGTTTCTGAGAATGAAGAATTTTATAGTTACTCACACAACCAATCTATTCTGAACTTTTAATATGGCTGATCCGGAGAGGCTAGCCATTGATAAACACACCGTGTAAGATAAAGGGCAAACAGCTTTGTGTGTGTCATTCGATCATACCACTACCAGAAAAGGTTAGATGAAGGTATGCATTACTATTACGCCGATAATGAATAATAATCTAGGACTTCCATAATAATAATAATAAAGAAAAGTTTTAATCAAATCCTAGGGAATTGACGAATGAAAAAACTCATTACACAACGTGTCTCACCATAAGAAATGCCCCACATGTTGGTATACTCTATACTAATAATGGGTAAGACCTACGATCATGTGGTTACTTTATCTGTCAGGTGATGTTTGACTTACTTTGCTAATGATTCGATGAATTAAAATAGGACAGCTTTGCGCTGTGATGCTAATTGGCCATGGATATAAGTGAATCAGCAGCACGAACACTAAAAGTCTGCATCCATGATAAAAACGATAGGAAATACTCTAATCAAGACGTGGTATTAAACCCAGATTATGAATTTAAGGTCGGGCGGCTATTGGCCGTGTATACCCCGGAAGCATCATCGGACAGAACCAAACATTTGTTTGTAAAATTCGTTCCAATTGATAAAGATACGCTTAATAATAATCAAGTATCGGTAACCCAAAGCATCGCGTCTCTGTTTGGTTTTAAAGCATGGTCGGAAGTAAGAGTTCGAAAGGTATGTTTCTGGCACTTTTGCTTTAGCTTGGTTATACCATCATTGTAATATCTGATTCACAAATTGTAGGTTGATGTACATTACGCGGCGGCTGAACACATTGAACTCATGTTCAAAGATCAATATATTGGACGTGGTGATATGTGGCGCTTGAGCAGAAGTCTTATCGGTTCGTGTGTACATGTTGGAATGGAGGTGAAAATGCTTGGCGGATGTATTAAGGCGCGGGTGAAAAAGATATATGGCCATGGCGAACCGGTAATATTTACTGCTTTTAATCTATATTTTCCTGGATTTTTTTCTCAGACTTTTTCTCTTTTTCAACATAGTTGTTGAGCGGACTAATTACCGAAAAGACCAAACAAATATTCAGGTCAGAGTCCGCAAAGTATTTTATCCTGGTGCAGATGAGCAGAGAAATGTGGGAATTTGATGAAGACGGCGAAATATATTTTGAAAAAACTTTTGATGGATTTTTACCCGAGTTATTCCAACGATGGAAGGAGTTTTCGACGAACCACTTGGTTTCTATCGTGTTATTTTCTCGTGTATTCTACGAGGGTACCGAGGACATAATCAGAGAAGGTGTAGCTTCGAAAGATGATCAAGGAAGATGGTATAAAGATCATTATAAAGCGATCGTTGATTGGGAAACCCACTTTGATTGGATGATTACCATTGAATCACTGAAGCGAGAACTGCTCAGATATCAGCGGGATCTTCTGTCATGCGAGAAGGGAGGTGTGTCATGGTTATGCGGACAGAACTCATGTGCATTTGAAGGAAACATATTAGAGGCAATTAATCTCGCGTTGAACCCATTCGACAAACATTATATTGATAGAGATTTGTTACGTACTGGATTAGCTATAATAATAGTCACTCCGGGAACTGGACATTTTGAGGTCAATAAACGATTGCTCAGAATTACCGCTGAGCGTATGGTTTATAATGGAATTGGTCTCGATTTGGTGAGTCTATCTAAGAAACCGTTACACACCGTCCCTCTTTTCAAGTTCAAATCACAGGAATTATCAAAGGCACCTTTACCAAGATGGATAGAATTGACTAAGGATACAAGAATTGATGCTCGAGATCCTTTAGATTATGACGAAAAGTCGTCCGAAGCTAATCATGAATATTATAAAACTCCAGATTGGATTGATTGTAGTTTTTATAGCAGACATCAGGATAAACCATACAAACCAGGCAAATTTGTCAGCAGATGTAAGATGTATGAAATACAGATGATGGGAATTACAAAGTATGATGTGTGTTCTGTAGGCATTCCATACTTGGACGATGAATTGCATACTAAAACCGATAGTCTAAAAAAGCCGAATGGTGCACTGAATGGTGTAGCCGATATTTACGAATTGTATGACGAGAGCGTGTTTGCATCAGAAAAAGAGCCAAGTGCATTTCAGGAACGGGGTGGATCACACCCGTTTAGAGAATTAACAGCAAGCTTTAATCAAAATATTGAGAATCGTAACTATCTCGTTGAATATTCCCGTTATCATCGTGTTGACCTGCCCAGCAGTCTTCCCAAGACGTTTACGGCTACACAATCCGATCATCGATTATCCAAGTCTCCTTACATGATGAATAATCAGTCCGTTGGCTCCTCACCAGATATTCGCTCTACGCTTTTTGAAACCCATCAATCGGTGCCAATGCTTAGATCCGGATCCCACGACGTGCCGATGACATCATGTCCTGAAGAAGATGTGACGTTCTCAAGTGAAGCTCAACCGGTGCCGATCAATAACGCATCACGAACCAGAAACCGCAGTCTAAGTCACGCATCACCAAGGGCTAACCATTATGATCCATCATACTCAGACGAGCCGGGTAAATATCATACAAAGAGTTCGTATGGCAAGCAAATGGCAGCCAGACAACAGCACAAACAAGGTCTTGTCAATCCATCCAACCCAGAAAAGAATGGCCGGAAAACGGAATACGGGTTTGAGTTGAGGAAGTGGGAGCACATATTTCCTCGACCGCATACAAACACAGTTGACTGGACGGCATTGTGTAATCCGGCATGTTTACCATTGACCACAGAGGACATCCCACCAATCAACGAAGAGGAACTTTATGTAGAGTATACATATAATATATCAGTCGAACCAGATGTAATGGATGGAGAAACGTTGGTAAATGAGATGATATCGCAACGATTGGCCCAAGGATACCAATTGATCATGATACCACCAACGATTGAGAATCCGGTATCCAAAACATTCGGCGATACCAGCACCTTGTTGGAAAATGGAGATGGTTATGCGTCGACATTCACAAAAACCGACACCCCTTGTTTTCTAGCTATGGGTCATTCCGTACACAAGTTGACTCGTAAAGATGAACTGAGTACAGAAGTGAAGATATACGTGAAGAGGACCGAATACCTACCAACTCCCTTTTCATATTGCTACTACGTATGGCCAAAGGGTCAATCAGTATATGAAAAAAGTGAAGTTAAATTCAATTATCCAGGTTCCGGTTTTCAACATCCAAATTACAAATGGAATTACGTGGATCGATTGGTATCTGGAGATCAAAATGTTTTAACGGATGATTTGAGATTCTGGCGTGCTAGGTTTCTCTTAATACCAACAGAGACTATACCGAATACCGTGAAAACAAGTGGACACCTCGAGAATCTTAGTGACGAGGACATAAGAATAATGGGAATAACTGAATTTCTGGGAATTCTTCAGAAAGCACTCTGGATTCCACCCAAACAGCAGCCAGGGGAAGCTATTCCTAGACTAGAAATTACTACTCTCACTCCATCCGAATATGTACGCAAGGCAGATAGATCCATTTATAATCGAGCGCTACTCGACGACACTGGGAGGGATCTTACGAAAGATAGCAAATTGACAACTATAGCGCAAGCAATACTAGATTCTAACCCGCCACTATTGATAAGCAGAAAATGGCGTCTAAAATTTTATGAAAGCGTAATAATTGGCCAAGAAGCGATAGATTGGATAATCAGTAAATTTGCTGATATTAACACTCGTGTTGCGGCTGAAGAGTTTGGGAACAAATTAATGGAGCAGGGATTGCTCGAACATTGTAATAATAAACATCCATTCATGGACGGATACTTTTTCTATCAATTAAAAGGGGAGTACGCCCCAAAAAAGGATTTCAAAGGAATTTTTGGGTTCGGTCTTAAGAAAGATAATCCTCCTCCAGTCAAGAAAGATGATTCTCCTCCAGCCAAGAAAGATGATTCTCCTCCAGCCAAGAAAGATGATCCTCCTCCAGCCAAGAAAGATGATCCTCCTCGTTCAATGCCAGCCAAACCTGTCACATCCAAACCAGCAGATACTACTGCTCCACAAAGGCCAGTTTCACACCCGCCTTTAAGGGACATTAAAATGCCATCTGCAACAGTCCCTCAGGTGCCGGCTTCTCAAGACTGTATTGTTCTAAGCAGATCTATAGAGATTGATATTGATCCAGAAAAGAAATCAAATAGAAAAGAGACAGCTACGCTTCATTACGACGTCATTAACAACCCAGACATTTGTTATCACTTCCGATTGAATTGGTTGGGTTGCACAGCTCGGTTGATTGAATCAATGTTGAATACGTGGAGTGCTAGACATATAGATAAATACGGGCTAAAGCTAGTGGAAGCTCCTGTAGAACAATCAATGGTTTTAACCGATAACCCGTTCCAATCTCCAACGGTCATTCAACTAGCCGTTAATCCTCCTCCGCTGGATGCGAAGAAGCTTCACCCTGATGTCAATTCTTATCTCTACTATGAAATACAATTGGTCAAGCACTTTCAATTTGTTCTTGACGTCGAGGCAGACAGTTTATTCCCTGAAAATGTCAAGATAAAGAACTCGTACCACAAAACACCGTACAAATATTCTCAATATATTCACAGATCAGGAACTGTATTTATTCAGATATGCGAGCCAGGGAACGGATATCTGTGGGTGGTTAACCGACTATATGCCACTCGTGGACTTAAGCAAGCCGCAACTAATCCTGATGAACTCTTGAAAAAGTTTCGAGAGTTTTGTTCGGATGAGAAGAACTTGGAGCAGTTTTGGAAAGATACGGAAGAGGCTATTCCGTATGTGAACGATAATAAAGATGAGAGTGAGAACGAAACAGCAAAGCCATATGTTATTGATGACACAGTGGAAGGAGGTGCTATAGAGCAAGGAGAACAACAAAAAACCCAAGCTCAGACACTGGATGATAAGTAATTTTTTGATTGAATTTAGTATTTATTTGTATTTTTAATTATCCCTTCTCCCCTCCTCTCTCTTGTCTATAATCGAACACCTACCCAGCCTCATTCTTATTATAATACATATCACTAGAACACAAAAAAAAATTTTTTTTTTAGCAATTGTCGGTGAGATGAACCTTTAGTCACTCGCAAAAAGTCCTAATACTATTGTCGACGTTTGATGTGCTTGTTGGTATGTTTGTAGTTGTATGTGTAGAGATATTTATCGTATAAGCGCCAAAAAAATGCGAACCTCAACCCCCCCTGCTCTGAGGTCAAATAAGTCACGAGGAACTTAAATAGAGAGGAAAAGGAGTTATTAGTGGCGGCGGTTTTCTTGGATAACTCTTGTTTATATTTATAATTTCTTTTATGATATGAAATCTTGGTACGTAATAAACAGAGCATTATCTTGTAATGTACGTCAGGCCGAAGAAAAGCGGGTTGGCCGCAAAGATCAAAGACAACAGGAAGAAGAGGGAGTTGTGTTAAAAAAAAACACGTTTAGATACGATTGAGAATGAGAAGTTAGCAGGACCATGAGGGCAACTGTTCAAATCATACGCCTTCTATGTTCTGTGGTTCTACCACTCACTTTTCATTCTCAACATAATTCGTCAACTGTCCAATATTCTCAATCTCTACCGTCATCTTATCACCAGTTTGAAGGTATACCGGTGGATCTTTTACAAACCCAACTCCTGGAAACCGTTAATTAATATGTTAATAACAAGCCTTATCTTGTTCCCACCCTTCTATCAATATATACCTTCAGGAGTACCAGTAAGAATAACAGTCCCCGGCTGCAGCGTGGTACTCTGACTGAGGAAACTAATGAGAGATGCTACATCGAATACCATGTCGCCTGTATTAGAATCCTGCATTTTTACATCATTTACAGTCATACTAATACGAAGACTGTTTGGATTTGTGATCACTGTCGGGGAGACTAGCATTGGACCTAGTGGAGAAAATGTGTCAAAGCCCTAAAAAAGAAGTGTGTGGAGAGAGAAATGTAAAGTAGCATCACGGAAGTTTATATTTAGTTTCAATCGTCGAACTTGCAACAAAGTATCTGCGTCGATTGATATTCCCTCTTGTCGCATTTATTTTTCCATTTTCCACTCCCTACTTTACCTTTGAAAAAGACCATTGCCCACCACCGCGAGTCTTTTGCCATTCTCTAGCGCTAATATCATTCCCTGCAGTATATCCTAGAACGTATTCCAAAGCCTTTTCCTTGTCCACATTTTTGCATTCCTTCTTGATCACTACAGCCAATTCTGCCTCATAATCCACATGGTTGGCAGCGATTTTGGGAAGACGAACGGGTTCAAATGGATCTTGGACTGCTGTACTTGGTTTAATGAAGAGTATCGGGTATTTCGGTATGGATTGATTAGTTTCAAGCGCGTGTTTTTTATAGTTTAACCCGATGCAACGGATCAATGGAACTTGAGACGTAGAGATTGGAGATAAAAGCTTTTGTTATCAAGCGTTGGAATATGGAAAAAAGAGGTAAAAAGTGAATCGTAGGACAATTATTACAATTAAGGTTGGGATTGTAAATTACTTTTTGTCTAACCTTTCTGATAGGAACTATGCTATCGGTTACTTTAGCGGTGTTATCAAATATATTTCCTTTGATTAGTTTGGCTTTGAGATCGTCAATTGATTTGAGGCCATTTTCTGATAGAATTGGCTCTCCCTGATAGATGCTTCCATCTTCACCGATGAATCTGAAGACGAAGAAGTGGTCATTGAAGGGTCACCTGGTGGTTATTGTTACTCTGTTGCGTTATTACCTTATCAGTCGCTTCCATCCCTAATAGATTGGGTTGATTTACAATTTTAGAAGTTTTGCAGTGTATTATCGATGCTAACTAACTGACTTACTTGTACCGGTGAAGCGGATGTCGACAGCCTTCTGTGTACTTTGAGAAGACCGAACATTGCTGCAGACATTCTTTTTCACTTCGATCATCTGTCGTTTGTAACCAATTGGATACACGTGTTGTGGCTAATGAAAACTTCTTGTGGCGGGTGGAAAATGATTGTCGTTCTCGTGCCTTTCTAGCATATAGTATGTTTACCCTTGGAAGTTACACTCACGATCGATTTAAATAATTTTGAGCGCGTCATTGTGATGAATGTTCCATTATGACTTTTGTGTACTCATAAAAACGTCCCGGCGGCCATATTAATATTGGACATTGTGTATAATTATTATAATTATTGATATCGGTCTCCTACTCTCGGCTGAAGTTTCAGAACAGTTTCTTATAAGATTAATATACTGGAATTTTTCTTTATTTTTGGTAACGAGAATGCCTTTCTAATCTATCCCATAGTAATAGCGGTACAATGGGATTAAACAAGCTTTTAAGTATTTCTTACTGATGTAATCACAACTGTGGAAAAAACCCTTCACTCAACCTCTATTAATGGAACTATCACTAGTAGAGGCATCTACAACACTGAACAAGACGTATGCATATGTTCAACGAGGACGTCAGCCTTATTATATGTCTCATTCCAGTTTGAACGATTGTCAAGTCTCGGATAGCATCATAGTATTGATGTTTCACTCATTCGGATCTTCCATGTCAATTTAATAAATATAGCCTTCCTTTGTCTTCACTTGCATCCATACTTGCAGATGCCTAAGGGGAAAGGATCATTATTATCGCATACATGTAACATCAATCATTAATATGTAATATATAGTACCTCATCATCCGACATGTCCTTACACTTTAGTGACTTTTTAGTGTCATGATGATTGTCATTTCTTTCTTTCTTTTTGTGACACTTGCAGCAATTTATACATTTCCTTACAATCTCAGCATGTGCCATATGTTGATGAGCCATTCATCTATTTATCGTGTAACACTTTTCTCCTTAAATTCTATTGGTAGACTGTAGTCACGTTTTTATAATCGTTTTCATAATCGTTTTTTATTTTTGTGATGATCGCACCATTTTGAAAACAGCAATAATTGCAATTGTGTCAAAGTGGCAAAATATGATCGAGCAGTCTTATAGATCTTTCATTGACAGGTTGCTCAATCAGTGGAGGTGTTGGTGGGAAGCTTTTACGTTGAATTTATTTCCCTTACGTTTCTTCCAATTTTCATTTTATCATAAGTTGAGGTTAATGTTTGTTTATTGTTTATTATTTTTCGTTCCTCTTGATAAATTTCATAAGTGATTTTTTCTTGATCTAGATATTCCTGGAGTGTTTGGGTATCATTCATTTTAAAAACATAGGAGCAATTTTTTCTCCTTGAGCTTTTTTTAGAATGCTTCTAATAGTGCTGTAATTTTTTTGGATATGATGTAAATTAGTTTCATACTAATATTTTTTATATAGAGATAATAATAATCCTATATTAATATATATTAATCCTGTTATAGTTTATATTCATCACATTCTGGTATGATAAAGTGAGCATTAAAATTAACAAGTCCATAAGTTATGAATGAGCACCATTATTACTTTTCAAAACATCATCAGTCACACTGGTCAATTTTACAGCCACATTATAATCAGTCACTCATTATCATTTATAAAATGTTCACTTTGTCTGGTTTTGTTGCAGTCTGCCCCATATAAGGATTTGGAAGCATCAATATTAAGGCTTACAAATTTCACATTCACTTTATTATTGTTGTTGTTAATTACATGGGAACTATAACTAGTCTTCCACAAGTATCCTTATGCAAGAAAGTATCCCAAAGATAGCAGCCTTTGGGTTATTCTAGTGTTTTCAAACAGATTATGTCTACATCAAAAGGTGAAGGAAATATGGCATATTAATACACACAATCTAGTGGGATTAATAATTAATGTTAATAATGAACGTTCACAATAATTAGTTTGCCAATTAGCACAGCAAATTTGGTACTTCGAAAAGATATACAAGAAGTGCGACTTTGATAGGTTCAGCTCAATATGTAAATTTTATAAGGGGCTTGCTCTATGTTTGTAAAACTACTGATATAAGACCCCACAATGTTCATATCCTTTTAATGTTCATTCCTTTCTTATAATAAACGAGTAGCTCTTTATACTCTGAAATACATTATTAAGGGTTCGTTCTCTGGTAAATTACGATATAGTTAGAAACCGTTAATTCCTATATCGTTAGGAGTATTTGCCTCTTGTCCCAGTCTATATTGAGCTTTGCTATAACCTTGTGCAACGGATCTGATTGACGGTCTTCAATGCATTGCTAAAGCAACGAATATTTATCGTAAATGCCACGGGAGTATAAGCAGGGACATTACGATATAGTTAGAAACCGTTAATCCCTAAATCGCTAGGAGTATTTGCCTCTTGTCCCAGTCTATATTGAGCTTTGCTATAACCTTGTGCAACGGATCTGATTGACGGTCTT